GGGAAAATACTACGCTTCACAATAGTAAACTCTAACATTTACCAATTCTTTTGAAAACGAATAAATTTCGTATCTGTATAAAATTTTCGATATCGACTTATTGGTCAACTGTACAGTTCAAGTGTGTGTGTATGTGTGTGTGTGTGTGTGTGTGTGTGTGTGTGTGTGTGTGTGTGTGTGTGTGTGTGTGTGTGTGTGTGTGTGTGTGTGTGTGTGTGTGTGTGTTGTGTGTGTGTGTGTGTGTTGTGTGTGTGTGTGTGTTGTGTGTGTGTGTGTTGTGTGTGTGTGTGTTGTGTGTGTGTTGTGTGTGTGTTGTGTGTGTGTGTGTTGTGGGTGGGCGAGTATTCACCTATAACTGTTCTTGGTCGCGGGAATCACAGCGGAGAGTGGCGGCACCTGCATATTTATATAATAAAAATTGAAATGCATTTTTTTTAAACTGAAACGGTGTCTAGGTACGCATGGTATTAATTGTGTAATATAAGAAGGCTTGAGCGTTTTGTGACGAAGTTAACAATGGGTTGGACCAAGTTATCACACGTAGAGAGTAATCGGGGAGTAGAGAACCCCAGAGACCCTCTCCAGGTAAGATCCAGGTAAGGGTAAATTTTGATAGTTTTAGTGAAATTTGATAGTTTAGTGAGTAGCGTTGGGAACATTGAAGGTAGAACTGAGTGTTAAAGTGAAAACAGATTGGACTTAGTCCTTAGCTTTATGAAGTGTATATGAGGTAGTGTTGAAGCATTCAAGAAGGAACTGGACAAGTTTCTGCTTGGGTTACCAGATCAGCCTGGCTGTGATGGCAAGCAGCTTCTAAAACTAAGCAATCACCAGCGGAGGCTGGCCACAGGCCAGGTAGGGAGAGGAACTATCGAAATCATCAACAGGTGAAAATCCAGCTCCCAAGATAAGCAGATCCTGTGAAACCCTCACAAGCTGTACTAAAGCCGGAATTTGTATCATTCATTTGTATTCCGGTAAAACAATGAAACTTGGGTCAGTTGGCACTTTATCATACTATAAAGTTTTGGTGAGACTTTATAAAGTTTTAGTTTTGCTTATGTGGTGCGCTGGTTCTTCAATGTATAGTTAAGATATACAGCAGTTACTCTCCTTGGCTGATCTTTGTAGTGTCTTGGGATCACTCCGGGGCGTTACGCCGTGTATTTGTGATCTTATCTTCTATCATATTTCATCCTCTCTTTAATTATTTCCTATAATATTGCAAGGGGTGTCTGAATGTATTGTATAATATTAACATTCCAGCTGCTATCAGTTGATTGGTGCGGAAGGCTCCGTCCCTGGAGCTCTGGGAGGGGCGACGCGCAGGAAGGAGTACGCAGTGATCACCAACACCGCGATTTGCAGAATGCAAATTTATCAACCAAAGGATCTTGAGCGCTTTCAGAATGGAAGTTAGATTCTCGACGGTTGTAGCCCAAGCGGCACTCCACCCACGTCACCGTCACCCACGTCACCCACCACCCACGTCACCCACCACCCACCCACCACCCACGTCACCCACGTCACCGCGGCGATGGACGAATGATCCACAAGTTAACATGCACATAGATTCCATTATCTAAATGAACATTTATACTTGGTAATGGTAGCCCACGAGAGAATGGGTTGGAGTATGACGGCAGCTGTGATGACGTTATTGTAATATCTAGGTGTGTGCTCTGATCTGTCACCTCCATGGCACCTTACCTTGGAGTTGTTCCGGGGCTTAGCGTCCCCGCGGCTCGGTCATCGACCAGGCCTCCTCGTTGCTGGACTGGTCAACCAGGCTGTTGGACGCGGCTGCTCGCAGCCTGACGTACGAATCACAGCCTGGTTGATCAGGTATCCTTTGGAGGTGCTTTCCAGTTCTCTCTTGAACACTGCGTGGGGTCGGCCAGTTATGCCCCTTATGTGTAGTGGAAGCGTGTTGGCACATCCACAGTAATTGTAACACCTTTGTGCAGTTACACTGGTACACTTTGTGCACTGGTACAACACATGTAAGAATGTTGTTGGCCAAAACTTTGAGTGTGGGGGACCCATTACCCAGCCTGTATATAGGGTCATGGTGCACAACAGCGGGGGACCTGGTGTCAGTGTTAACTATGATTTATTATTGGGTCTTCTATGATTTAATTATATTTGATCAACCGGGTTGTGATTCATACGTCAGACTTCAAGCAGCGGCGTCTAACAGTCTTGTTGAGCACACCGCAAATCTGGAGGCCTGGTCAGAGACGGGCCACAGGGACAATGATTCTAGGAATCAATACAAGGTAAAAAAAAAAAAGTAATTAGTGTACTTCCTCTGTTCTCATCTGAGCTGTGCGTGCGTGCGTGTGCGTGCGTGCGTGCGTGCGTGTGGGTGGGTGGGTGTGAGTGTAGGGTGTGTGTGGGTGGGTATTCATTTAGATGTGCTTGCGGGGGTTGAGCTCTGCTCTTTCGGCTCGCCTCTCAACTGTCAATCAATCAATTGTTACTAACAATTAACTATTTTTTATATGTCTGACGACCTAACGTTTAATAGGCATAACCAAGCAAATATTGCGTCAGCCAGAAAAAAATGATATGATGGATTACGAGAACTTTCAAATCCAGGGATCCCATCACAATGGTTGTACTCTTCAAGTCACTTGTGTTGTCCCGGCTTGAGTACTGCTCAGTACTCACTTCCCCCTTCAGAGCAGGAGAGAAATAGAGAGAATACAGAGAACATATACGGCACGCATAGACGCGATAAAACACCTAAATTATTGGGATCGTCTCAAAGCTTTCCAAGTGTACTCACTAGAAAGGAGACGAGAGAGATACCAAATAATATACACCTGGAAGATACTGGAGGGCCAAGTACCAAATCTACACAGTAAAATAACAACGTACTGGAGTGAACGATATGGAAGAAAATGCATAATAGAACCAGTGAAGAGCAGAGGTGCCATAGGCACAATCAGAGAACACTGTATATTGTGAGCGGCAACAAGGTGGCGGATAAAGGCTGGAGTCTCTTTAAGAGGAATCGAGGTACGTTTCTGCCTGATCAGCCGGGTTGTGATGGTTGGGGGACGCTAATACATATAGACATACCAGGCAATCATCCAGAATGGTGAAAGGGTTGGAGGTGAGGCAGGCAGAGATGTGTTGAAGGTTAGGCAAGACATCACGGATGGAAGGTAAGATATGAGAGAGAGAGAGAGAGAGAGAGAGAGAGAGAGAGAGAGAGAGAGAGAGAGAGAGAGAGAGAGGGAGGGAGGGAGGGAGGGAGGGAGGGAGGGAAGGAGGGAAGGAGGGAGGGAGGGAGGGGAAGAAGAAGAAGGAGGAGGAGGAGGAAGGAGGAAGGGTCACAGGAATGAAGATTAGAAGATAAAAAAGTGGTAAATGGTGATCAAAACTGGTGATTAACGGGGTAAAGACTTAGGGAGGACTGGAGGGGGGGGGGGGGGGGTTACGGATCATCCTTTAGCTGATGGAGGGGATTAAGTGGGATGATAGATAAGGATTTTTTCGACTAGGATTAGTGGTAGATAATTAAAATATAGCAAGGATTTAGTCAAGTATTTGGAGATGTGTGTTTGTGAGGGGGGGGGGGAGGAGGAACCCGTTCTCTCCATTACCACTCCGTAAAAAATCCAATGATTTAGCGTAACCAGAAGCCTCAGGACCAAGGGTGCCAACCTACCCTACTGGAAGCCTTACTCAATAGTTTCAGGAAGCGTCAATATGGTAGTGGTTTTAATGTCCTCCCCCCCACCCACCGGGTGGGAGACGGTGGTTGAGCTGACAGAACACTGGACGCGTGATCCTGTGGTCCTGGGTTCGATCCCGGGTACCGACGAGAAACAATGGGCAGAGTTTCTTTCACCCTGATGCTCCTGTTACCTAGCAGTAAATAGGTACCTGGGAGTTAGACAGCTGTCACGGGCTGCTTCCTGGGGGTGGAGGCCTGGTCGAGGACCGGGCCGCGGGGACACTAAGCCCCGAAATCATTTCAAGATAACCTCAAATCACCACAATTTCAACGTTGGGGGCAGATAACGACAACAATGTGGAGTTGAGCGAGGCTGGGACCACCTCTTGATTCGCCACTCCGTAAAAATTACAACTGTTTTGCCTAAACAGAAGCGTACGAACCCAAACAACCCACCAAACCTATCGAGGCTGGTACATGGAAAACGACAACTTTACTGTATTTTTTTCTTTCTGAAACGTCATATTTTTAACGGAGTGCTCAACTCCGTACAAAAATGCGACGTAATGCATGAGAGTACGGGATGATACTGAGCTGATCCGAATTCATGTGATGTTTATATATTTTGGACAAAGTATAATATGTACGTATAATATGTGCATTATGAGAGAACATTGTAGAGTAACATGTACGTGTATGTTAAAGGTTTACGTGGGTGGAAGGTTTACGCGGGTGGAAGGTTTACGCGGGTGGAAGGTTTACGCGGGTGGAAGGTTTACGCGGGTGGAAGGTTTACGCGGGTGGAAGGTTTACGCGGGTGGAAGGTTTATCCGGGTGGAAGGTTTATCCGGGTGGAAGGTTTATCCGGGTGGAAGGTTTATCCGGGTGGAAGGTTTATCCGGGTGGAAGGTTTATCCGGGTGGAAGGTTTACGCGGGTGGAAGGTTTACGCGGGTGGAAGGTTTACTTATCAGGTTAGAACTGAGACTTAAGGCATCTGCACAACGGGTTTCCACCTATAGATTGATTGATAAAGCTCAAGCCATCGAAGAGGTGGCACGGGCATGAATAGCCCGTTATCCACCTATACCCAGGTGCTTCTATTTAGATTCACTCCTCAGCCCGAACGCATTCACGTGGCAGTTATTCATCCGTCTGGCAGTTATGTTATTCATCCGTCTAAGAGTTATGGTATTCATCCGTCTGGCAATTATGTTATTCATCCGTCTTAAGAGTTATGGTATTCATCCGTCTGGCAATTATGTTATTCATCCGTCTTAAGAGTTATGTTATTCATCCGTCTGGCAGTTATGTTATTCATCCGTCTTAAGAGTTATGGTATTCATCCGTCTGGCAGTTATGTTATTCATCCGTCTGGCAGTTATGTTATTCATCCGTCTAGCAGTTATGGTATTCATCCGTCTAGCAGTTATGGTATTCATCCGTCTAGCAGTTATGTTATTCATCCGTCTGGCAGTTATGTTATTCATCCGTCTAGCAGTTATGGTATTCATCCGTCTAGCAGTTATGGTATTCATCCGTCTAGCAGTTATGGTATTCATCCGTCTAGCAGTTATGGTATTCATCCGTCTAACAGTTATGTTATTCATCCGTCTAGCAGTTATGGTATTCATCCGTCTAGCAGTTATGGTATTCACCCGTCTGGCAATTATGTTATTCAGATTTTGTTGTTTTTTAGTTGCTGTTGGTACTAAAAATGTTAAGGATAAGACGTATATTATTGATACACAAGGCAGGGAGGGGGAGACAGTGCCCTGGGTGTGGGGGGGGGGTGAATGGGGGGGTTTGGGCACACCTTATTATGGGATTAGGTTTATGTTTATCCCCCCATGTCTGCGGGCACACGCTCACCCCATAACTCTCAGCCAGGGATAAAATACGGCACCGGACGGATCTGGGAATGAGTGATGATTATGATGCGGGGATGATGATATTTGGAACTGAGTGTGGGGAGTAGGACTTGACTGGTGGCTCAGTCGTCCAGGTTTGGGCTCCGTAAACATCTCCAGACTCTCTCAGAGTCGTTACGTTGTTATGTTGGGATGTTGTTAGACATGAGCCGGGTATACTAAGCCCTCACTAGCGTTCTGGTTATAGTAGGATGTAAAATAAAAACGTGATTTATACTCTCTTCCGTTTGAGTTACGGCTCATAATTCACAAGATGAAGGGTTGAGTGCTGCTCAGCTGACTTATCAACAACGGTGTCAAGGTAATCACCTGCTTTACCTTAAGGATACCTTGAGGTGGTTCCAATCATCAAAGTCCCCAGACGCCCAGATTGATGGTCTGGTCAAGCAGGCTGTTGAATGCTGCTAACGCAGCCTGACGTAGGTATCACAGCCTGGTTGATTAGGTACACTCTGAAGGTGTTCTGTCCAGTTGCCACTTGAACGCCGCAAGAGGTGGGCTAGTTATGCCCCAGACAGTTAGGGAGCAGGTGTGTGTTGAAGGGTCATTGCCCATAACGTTTATAGAATTGGGTTAATAATGTGGAAGCTAGTTCATCCTAGTTAATAATGGAGAGTTAATCCAACATTGGGTTAATAATGTGGAAGCTAGTTCATCCTAGTTAATAATGGAGAGTTAATCCAATTCATGACTTCTCCACAATGATGGTTAAGGATAACAGTCATGTTGCACTCCTGTTTTGCGCTACCGCTCACAGGATGAGTATGGGTGTAACACGGGTTCGGGTTCCTCTCTCTTTTCTTCCTTCTACTCCCTCTACCCGTATTCTTACTTTTTATTCTCTACCAAGGGACTCCAAAACTTTTACCAAAGCCAACTCCACGCCACGTGGTCCTAAGACGATTGACCGACTTAGGATTCTACACCCAGTATGACGTGACCTAAGCTCTGAGCAAAAACCTAGAGTCGCCTCTGCTGCCACCACCAGACCAGTAATACAAGAGCAATGATCGAGGTCTGGATCGATCACGCTAATTAATCAACCTAGGGGCTTGATCCCCACTATATATGATGACCTTGAGTGTGGAATAAATTACACGGTAATGATAATTCCGATTCGATGTTAGCATCGGCGCCCAATCCAACTTTACCTCGTGTGGACCACGTGACCAGGACAAGTTTACACAAAAACACATGGAAATAATGAAATGCAAAAATATTAACAAATTTAATTTATTAAAAGAAAAACTAAAACAAAATCTAAAAATGTTCACTCCCTATCACTTTAACACTCCCTACTTGACCTGAATGGCAAATGAGAAGACTATTTCTATAATTAACAATAGCAACTATACCTTGGGCGACCAGCTAGATGGCTTGGCTGGTCTAGGGGAGAGGCAAGATGGTTGACCTCTCCCAGCTGCTTCCGTGTCCACACTGATTTGTCCTCGTCTGGCCTAGCCCAGACTAGAACCTTGTATCCTTCCGCCTAGTCAAAGTTTTACCAAGTTACTAGCAAGGTTTAAGTTATAACAATTAAACTCTGTTGTACTTAATTGATCCAGACTGGTTGAATTATTTTACTGAAATAAATTACACAAGCCTCTAACGGCAGAGCTGTTCCCGATCACAAAATGGTTATTAAAACTTTGAGAAATAGTAGACCTGTCAACCCCTGATGACCTATGACCGCCGGTCACTCCGCTTTAAAAGTTAGATCTGATTCGTGACGTCACTGATGGTGACTTAAACTCAATAATTAGAATACTCTTGATATTGTGTCCAGTACTATTATACAATACAATTTTAATGCAAAATGAATAAAGGCTAATTTTCTCTAAATTCCTGAATACTATAGGATGATTCATTATACGCAGATATGAACAAAGCGTCGGTTATTTCCACCGCGAATTCCCCTGGGGTCAGTCACCATGCGGCTCAGCTTCCCATTCTCTTTTGTCGATAAACCACTCTGGATAATTCTTACAACAGCCTAGTTTGTTACATGGGGTGCACAATACACTACCGCTCACAGGATGAGTATGGGGTGCACAGCTCACAGGATGATTCTTAGTATGGGGTGCACAATACACTACCGCTCACATGATGAGTATGGGGTGCACAATACACTACCGCTCACAGGATGAGTATAGGGTGCACAATACACTACCGCTCACAGGATGAGTATAGGGTGCACAATACACTACCGCTCACAGGATGAGCACAGGGTGCACAATACACTACAACTCACAGGATGAGTATACCGGGATGAGTATAGGGTGCACAATACACTACCGCTCACAGGATGAGTATAGGGTGCACAATACACTACCGCTCACAGGATGAGTATGGGGTGCACAATACACTACCACTCACAGGATGAGTATGGGGTGCACAATACACTACCACTCACAGGGTGAGTATGGGGTGCACAATACACTACCACTCACAGGATGAGTATGGGGTGCACAATACACTACCACTCACAGGATGAGTATGGGGTGCACAATACACTACCACTCACAGGATGAGTATGGGGTGCACAATACACTACCACTCACAGGATGAGTATGGGGTGCACAATACACTACCACTCACAGGATGAGTATGGGGGTGCACAATACACTACCACTCACAGGATGAGTATGGGGCGCACAATACACTACCATTCACAGGATGAGTATGGGGTGCACAATACACTACCACTCACAGGATGAGTATGGGGGGTGCACAATACACTACCACTCACAGGATGAGTATGGGGCGCACAATACACTACCACTCACAGGATGAGTATGGGGTGCACAATACACTACCACTCACAGGATGAGTATGGGGGGTGCACAATACACTACCACTCACAGGATGAGTATGGGGTGCACAATACACTACCACTCACAGGATGAGTATGGGGGTGCACAATACACTACCACTCACAGGATGAGTATGGGGGTGCACAATACACTACCGCTCACAGGATGAGTATGGGGGGTGCACAATACACTACCACTCACAGGATGAGTATGGGGTGCACAATACACTACCACTCACAGGATGAGTATGGGGGTGCACAATACACTACCACTCACAGGATGAGTATGGGGCGCACAATACACTACCACTCACAGGATGAGTATGGGGGTGCACAATACACTACCACTCACAGGATGAGTATGGGGGGTGCACAATACACTACCACTCACAGGATGAGTATGGGGTGCACAATACACTACCACTCACAGGATGAGTATGGGGTGCACAATACACTACCACTCACAGGATGAGTATGGGGTGCACAATACACTACCACTCACAGGATGAGTATGGGGGTGCACAATACACACCGCTACACTACCACTCACAGGATGAGTATGGGGGTGCACAATACACTACCACTCACAGGATGAGTATGGGGTGCACAATACACTACCACTCACAGGATGAGTATGGGGGTGCACAATACACTACCACTCACAGGATGAGTATGGGGGTGCACAATACACTACCACTCACAGGATGAGTATGGGGTGCACAATACACTACCACTCACAGGATGAGTATGGGGTGCACAATACACTACCACTCACAGGATGAGTATGGGGTGCACAATACACTACCACTCACAGGATGAGTATGGGGTGCACAATACACTACCACTCACAGGATGAGTATGGGGGTGCACAATACACTACCACTCACAGGATGAGTATGGGGCGCACAATACACTACCACTCACAGGATGAGTATGGGGTGCACAGTAAACTAACCGCCTCCGAAGGCAACAATCAATTACCCTCCGGCCCAGTCAATTGAACGTTAATGTGCTCGTTATACGGAACGTTAAAATCTCGTAAGAGGAGGAAGGAGTACCTCTCAGCATGGACTCCGACGTGGTCAAGGGTGAGGGGTGTGTGGAGCTGGAGCAGCGGGGCAGGATCACCTCCCGACACTCACTCTTGTAGCACTATTACAGCCGCCTACATTATTATTAGTAGTAGTAGTAGTATCAGTAGTAGTGGGTTTTGGTGCCCACAGTCCATGGCAACAGATTCTTGAAAGCACTTACGCAAATACTTACGAACGTGTACATCTTTCCTCGATCTTTGACGGCGTTGATTACATTTATTAAACAATTTACAAGCATGAAAACTTCCCAATCAACTGTTGTTATTGTTATAAACAGCCTCCTGGTGCTTCGGAGCTCATTAACTGTTTAATAATTGGAAACAAAGCTGCCAAAGATTGTGAAACAGGTTCGTAAGTGCTTGCGTGAGAGCTTTCGTGAATCTGGCCCCTGGTCTTCTCTCTCCTCGTGGTGGCCTTCCAGCTGTCTGCGAGGCTCCGTCGTACAAAGTGTGGTATGGAAATGATGACATTTGTTTTTAAATAAACAATTCACTAATATCTTTTGTTGACCTTTGTGTTACTTAACGTCAAATAGGTATTATGATGTATTCATATATACCGCGCTGGCGCCTGAATGATAATGAAATGTAATCAAAGCTAAGATTTATTATTAAATAGTTTATTGAGTATTTTGTTAAATCCAAAATTATGTTTCAACTCTCCTAGGTGGGGAAGTATATCAAAGACAGTGCCTTACCTTCCCCTACGTGACTTGCAAAGAAGCGGGTGAGGTGTTTTTCTCCGCCCCATGAGTCAGGCTGCCCACCAGCCCCCACATGAGTCAGGCTGCCCACCAGCCCCCACATGAGTCAGGCTGCCCACCAGCCCCCACATGAGTCAGGCTGCCCACCAGCCCCCACATGAGTCAGGCTGC